CCCCAAAACCCCAAAACCCCAAAACCCCAAAACCCCGTAATCTTGAACCAGTTAGTAGAATTTTGAAATAAAAATATAATTTTAAGAATATCAATGGATAAATCATTCAATAGTTCTTTCCAAAATGCTGGGATGAATATTTCAGGCCTTAAAAATAGAGAATAGACTCCAAATAAACCTATGTATCAATAGAATTATACTACCACCAATGGAGACATTAATGGATAGTTCTTGATTACAGAGTTAGGCGCTAATTAATAGCTAATACCCAATTAATATGATGCCAATCCATATTAAGTTGTTGTGCGAGGAAGCATGAATGGAGATAGACCATAAACTGACGAGAGTGATAGAGGAAATGCTGATAATCAAATCTTCCACGTCAAAGACGCTGAGCCACCATCAGATTTTGATGCTCCCTATAGTAGATTACCTTCGAATGTAGTGCTTACAAGAGTAAAAGTAATATAACTGCCTGTTTATACATTCAATTGTTTAGAAAAACGTGAGTTAATCACTTACTTTTAGAAATAAGACTCACATGGATGAATGGAACAAGATCTTCGAGATGGAGCATGCTGATGCTATCATTAGTGATGCTTTTTGGTATGTTATTTGCAAGGTTTTCAAAAAGAATGCTGCAAATTATTAGTAATACGAGCCATACTAAGAATTCCTCCTCGACAGAATAGCTGCAAATTACGTTTCATTTACAATCGTGGAGAATGTTAAGTTGGATCTTCAAATTAAAGCCAAGTTCTTTGAGAATTTCTTTGATATAATAGCCCAATCAGTGTTCTATTCATTGTTTTATGCTTTCCCAAAGAGTAGATCATTGCTAAATAACGAGATGAAGAGAAAGCTGCTTAACATTTTTAGTAGACTATTCACAGGAATGAAGATAAAGAGCGCTAAATATGATCATTGGAGCCTTGATCTTGGAACTGGAAATATACTCTAGGGCGTTGCAGCAAAGAAAAATACTAATGGCCAAAGGGAGTTGGTTTCATTAGCTGATGTAGAAAGCAAGAAGAAGGGAAAAATTATGAAGAAAAGCAACAGAGAGAGAATCCATATGAAGTACAGCCCACTGGTTGAGAGGTATTTGATAACACATAAGTATGAGACAATGAATAATGTGAGAGAATGGAAAATGCTATTAACTTAAAGAACCGATGTTCAAAAAGAAATAGATTCGAAATTCGAGAAATATAAGAAAATTGCAGATCAAGCAGTCAATGAAATGAAAAGATTAAGAGATGATTATGATAAAACCTGTTCTGTCATTGCAGAAAAGATGCGTGAAAATGAAAAAGCTGCTGCTAAACATATAGAGACACTTAAGCAAAGTAAAAAGGAGAAACTCGAAAATGGAGGATACAGTGAGTATGCCAATATGCTTGTTAGTATTTTCAACAGTGAGCATGTCAATAATATGGCTGATAATCAATGAGAGTCCTTACTCAGGATGTTAATATGAATGCTCAAAGTATTTGATTAATAAATATTCATAATTGATTATAACAATAATATAGTCTTCAATTTTATCTCTAGGGGTTTTGGGGTTTTGGGGTTTTGGGG